AAAAAAAAAAAAAAGAAAAAAGAAAAAAAGAAAAAGAAGTGGTGCCTGTGAGGACAGGTGAGCTTATGCATGAAAGGCCTGTAGTATGGGGATCTGTATAGTATATCCTCAAGGCAGCTGAGCTGTTACTATTAGCATCTGCATTCTACAGTTGAGGAAACTGAGGCACAGAGAGGTTGTGTAGCTTGCCCAAGGTCACAGAAAAAGTAGCAAAGCTCAAGAGCCTGCACTCTAAGCAAAACTTCTAGGAGCTCTACTCTGTCCTACCCCGGCAGGGTCTGGTTCTGAGCTGGGCACTGAGAATATAAAGCAGTGAGCAGGGCTGATGTGGTCCCCGCCCTCAGGGAGGTCACAGGTTGATCCGGTGCAGTTAACATCATCCGTCTGGGTGTGGCTCTGGTTCAGGTCCTCCTAGGTATTCCGGTAGCCTCTTGGACACTCTGTCATCACAGGACCCCTCATGCGGAACTGTGATTATTATCTGCTCTTCCCAGAAAGATCCAGGGTGCTGCGCACGTACAGAAGGAATGTTCATTACAGCTACAGATATCTCCTAAGCAACTGCACTGTGTCAAAGGCTGTGCTAGGTGCCAAGAATACAGCATGGATGTGTCCCTCCATTATGGAGCTCACAGTGCATATGCCAGGAATGACCCTCACACATGTTGGTATCTTTCTGGCAAAGCCAGCCAATCGTATGGACCTAAGCACGAACATTTTGCAGAGAAGAAAGTGAAGCTCATTCTCCTTCTTATTTTCCCAGGCTTACACAGACAGAGATGGGTAAAGCAGGATATGAACCTGTCTTTCTCCACATTTTACACAGGGACCAGGATCTGAATGAATCTCCAAAACAGCAGAATGGAGATTGGGTAAATTATGGCCATTGGGCAGAAAAATACATGGGCAAAAAAGGGAGCCATCTGGTGAGGCACGGATGGCTCTCAAATGAGTCCCCTCAACCCCTTTCTTCCCCCATCACACACACCCTCGCTGTCCCTCTCTGGCCTTAGTCTCTCTAACCTGTAAAATGAGGAGCATGTCATCACTTCAAATGGTGGTGGTGAGGACAGACGAGTTCATGCATGAAAGGCATCCAGGATGGCAGAGGTGGGTCGGAGTTCAGCTGGGGCTCAGCTCCATTGGGCTGACTCAAGCATTGTGTATCACAGCCAACTCCCTTATCTCAAGACAGACTCTACAGTCAGGGAATTACAGGCACTCCCTGGGGCTCAGACTCCCACATAAACTGTTCTTCTTCAAGCACCTCTTCCCAGTACCAATCAGGATATCAACAAGAAATAGCACACTCCATTTGAAAGAAGATTAAGGGCGGGGTGCAGTTGTTTACACCTGTAATCCCAGTACTTTGGGAGGCTGAGGAGGGTGGATCATTTGAAGTCAGGAGTTCAAGACCAGCCTGGCCAACATGGTGAAACCCTGCCTCTACTAAAAATATAAAAGTTAGTCAGGCATGGTGGCAGCCACCTGTAGTCCCAGCTACTAGGGAAGGTTGAGGCAAGAGAATCGCTTGAACCCCAGAGGTGCAGGTTGTGGTGAGCTGAGATCGCCCCGCTGCACTCTAGCCTGGGTGACACAGCAAAACTCTGTCTCAAA